TCAGACTTGTTTCCAGTGCATGTTGGACTCCGGCAGGGCTGCCCTTTGTCACCGGTTCTGTTCATTATTTTTATGGACAGAATTTCTAGGCGCAGCCAGGGGCCGGAGGGAGTCCGGTTTGGGGACCACAGGATCTCGTCTCTGCTTTTTGCAGACGACGTTGTCCTGTTGGCTCCAGGGCAGATCCACTTACCAATCCATATGCCAGTCCGCATCTTGCGATGGACCAAGAACCCGCCAGAACCTACCATAAGGTGACATGAGACGCGTCACTGATCCAAATTCCATTCCACATTTTACCATAAACTCACGGCAACTTCAGTCTATAACTCAGTGAGCAAATAACATTAGTTTGTGTAAAATGTCATTTGTTTGGAAATATTTTAGTGTGGAAATGATGAAAAGCAAGACAGCTACTTGTAATGTGTAAAGCCAATACAGCCAGTTAAATCAAGCACCTGAAAATGTATAAACTTCCAGCAGACAACCTGAAGGGGGGATTACAGAGGTTGCTCGACTTCATTATATGTCGGGTTTCGCAGCCTGTTGTAACACCTGGAGACCAGGTATAATCTGGCATCCAGAAAATACATTTCATAGACTGCTCTACCTGAACTATACAACCGAATGTCTTCATAGTTAGATGTTAAAGCCATGAGCTTCACGACTGATATTTGGACCTCAGATGTGAGCAGCATTGAAGATGACCCCCTCTATTCATTTGCCACTTCACTGGACCCTCGATGCAAAGAGAGGTGAGACTGAGTTTTTATTGATGATAAGTTATAAATGCCCTAAAGCTGGCTACATTTAAATTGGTAAATGTGAATCTTGTAAAGCCAAAGCCACGTGTTTATTTCTAGCTCAGAAGTGAAGATTTGTAAATGTGCAATTATTTGGAGAAGTGTGTGTCGGTTCCACTTATCCATCATTACACATATTTAATATTTTGTAGTGTTGATTGTTTTATTGCAATGAAAGAGCCCTTGTATCTGAATTTGTATTGGTAGTAGTGTATCAGAATCGGATTGGAACTGAAAAAATTTGGATTGACCCATCACATTTCTTTTTATTAGCTAATAAAAAGAAATATATTTTTGGATAATATGATCTAAGGGTAGAACAGTTTCCTGAGTCTGTAGCGAGAAAGAGCTTGTTGGTTACACCCAGTAATGCAGATTCTGTAGTGTGATGAGCTCTGGTCTAGAATTGTTGAAGACTAAAGGATGTAGGTTCTGTTTTTTCTGAAGTATTGTAGAACACGGCCTGCCCCAGGGGACTGACAGGATGTTGGTGTGGGTGGTGCCAACATCTTCTTTATTTAAAGAGTTTTGTCAGGATTGTATCAAGGGAGCATGTGGAGATTTTCATAAAAGATGAAACATGAAGTTCATTCAGGGTTTAAGGGACATTATAACTGCAGAGTTTTAGAGGAGGTGGATAGACTGTTCAGAGGCATGATACTTTGTCTGCAAAAAAGTTAAGGAAGTCCTCACAAATGTTAGTTGAGGCCTTGAAGCAGGGGCTAGCACGTGGGAGATGTCAGATTTTAATACATTGAAAAGTGCCCTTGGCGTTATGGCAGTTTTGATGATAAGGTTGGAGAAATATTGTGTTCTGGTATTTTTGACAGCTAGTTGGTATTCACTTACAGTAAGTGACCTTTCAGAATTTTAAATGAGATTTGCAATTTATCCTGTTTCTATTTCTGCTTTACATGATCTCCTGACTTCTTTGATGTTACTGTAATTAAGCCAAGGTGTGGCCCAAGACTTAGGTTTTCCATATTTAAAGAATGTACAAAACAGCAATTTCCTCTGTGCTCACGTAAGATGGTGTGGATGATTAAGAAACCCCTTTCTATATGTTTCTTTAAATAGCAAGGATGCAAGAGCACAGTAAGCAGGGAGGATAAGAGGGGTGCACTGTATTTTCATGTCAACGGTTATTGCCAAGTGATAAGACAGGTGAAAAAGTTGTGTCACAAGGTTTCGCAAGTCCTGAGGATAGAACTAAGTCCACAATGTGTCTTATAACATGAGTATGGCCATTTACTGATCGCTGAAGACCAAAAGATTGAACTGCATCCAAAGGTTCATGTGTCATGTCTTGTGAAGGACAACAAATGCCAATG